CTGGAGGGTATGCTGGCTGGCTCGCAGCGTTTTGGGTTGCGCTGGGCACTGTCTCGCTGGGTTTGCTGGCCGTCGGCCACGTCGTGGGGCAGAGGCAATGCAGCAGAGCTTAAAAGGCGAGCGCCTTTCGGAGGGGAGACTGCCTGGTATCTCTTTTCAGTTTTGTCTCGGGTTGCCTGGAGCGCCTCGTCTGCAGCCGGTGTGGTCTGGTAACCTGAGGATGCGAGATCTCCCGTGTCCATCCATCAAGAGCTCTGTGCGAGCAGCCGTATCGACGCGGGGAGGCTTTGCAGGGCGGGTTTCAATGTGCCAGCAAATTTACAAGCATCCTGCTGACAACAAAAGCCTATCGGGTGGCTTCTGGCCTCAAAAGTGCCTCCCTTCCGTGCTAGAGAAAATTATAAAGTTGACTGCAGGAAGTACAGAGGTTTTGGGGTTTTTTTTTTAAAGATTTTTCATTAGAAAAGGTGCTTCAGCTCAGGCTGGTCACCTGTAGGCCTATGGCCATGTTGATGGGGCACAAGGCAAGAACCTTGTATATTAGAAATGTATATTTGTTTCTCTGGATGTAACCTCCTCCCTGCTGTGTAAGCAGGGGAGCACGGCGGGGACCCCAGCAGTGCCAGCGAGTGTCTTGTCTGGGAGAAACCTCTAAGCAAGCAAATATGCATGAAAACCCTTCAAAGAGGAGAGATTTAAGGGTAGGAGGACCCATGCGCTGCTGAAACTCAACTATCTTTTGGGCTGAGCATCCTGGTGAAAACACCGAGAGTGGTAAGAAAAATAAATAAATGGTGGAAGGAGGAGGGGGAAGGAAAAAAAAAAAAAAAAAGCCCCTTTATACAGTTAGCTGCAACTGCCTGGGCTTGTCGCTGGCAGAAAGTAGGACACTCCTGCTGGGTTTTCTTCTCTGGAAAGGCTAAACTTGGCTGTGAGTGGGTGGAGGCAGCCTGCATGGAAATGCGTGTGTGTGTCCCCATCCCTTGCGCCTGCTCAGCCGGCTTCGCTGCCGTGGGGCTGGAGAGCTGCTGGCCAGAGCTGTGCGTCCGGCTGCTCGGGTGTATTTGCCCAGAAGGGTTTAAGCCCAAGCTTGCAAAGGTGATTATGCGTTCAGCTCACTGAGATGAGTAGGAATTAGAGCCTAAATATCTCTCCTGTTCAGGCTGCTGTGGAGTATCCGGGGTCTCTGGTCGCTCACCAGGACCTGAGCTCGTCAGGGTGGATGCGGGGTTGGTGGAAGAGGAGCCGGGAGGTTTTGGAGGAGGAGAAGGGTACCCTGGCATGGTTGCAGAGGTCGAGCAGCTCATGGCCTCCTTGCATGTCTGAGTCAGGCAGAGGGACGCGGAGCAAGCGGTGGCTGCTGGCGTTGGGGGTGAAGTTGGAGTTGGGGAATTTAATGTGAATTAGCTTAAAGGCGGCAGGAGAGCAGAGAAACCACCGAGCCCTGGAGCATCTTTGGGCCGGGTGATGCTTGCGCTCCTGTATGGGAGGCTGTGGTCCGCTCTTGCCGTGCTCCTGGATTTCCCCTGTGTCTCTGTTCCCTAAACTGGACTTTCCTGGTGCCCTGTGCCAATGGACGTGGCGTCACAGCCTCCCTGGTGAAAAGCCCCGGTGGGAGGAGAGCGCAGGCAGCAGCCACGGGCAGCTCCGGTGCATTCGGACCCCCCCCTCTGCATGGGCAGGGGGTCGCTACCCCAAGGCTGTGACCTTGATCAGGGTCCCCGGGGCAATGGGCTGGTCAAAATGAGGCCGTAAAGTCCAAAAATGTGATTTGGAGTGGTATCTTCAAAGGGGAAGAGCACTGCAGTAGGGCAGGGGCTAGCAAATCCTTGGGGCTGCAGCCCTGCCTGCAGTTTGCCGTGGTGGGGGGAGTTACCTATTCCTTCTCCGAGTCCTTACTCTCCAGTGTTGCGGAAGTAAACACAGCATTTAATACCCTCCAAATTCCATCCTTTGGATCTGCTTCAAAAGAGACTTTCCTGTTGCTACTAATCCTGCAGCGGCCAACTGAACAGGGTTGCCTTGTCTGATTTCTCCTGAGCTGCGGGAGGGGGGTTATTAGTCCGCTCCTGCGTCTCTCCTGACCTTTGGGGTAAATCGGGATCGGGAGGGACTTCGTGCAGCCACGTGTTTTATCCTCCCACGTGCTGCTGCAGCGGTCTTTCTGCCAAGCCCTTGCTCACGGTCCGAGCCCGCCTTGGGAAGGTTTCCAATGATGTCCAAATCTGGCTGCAGGTGGAGTGTCCTATTCTGTAGCCAAGATGTGGCCATCCGTGTCCATCCTGTGTGTCCTGGTGGCCTTTGCCAATGCTCGCAGCATTCCTTACTACCCTCCCCTCTCCAGCGACTTGGTCAACCACATAAACAAGCTCAACACCACCTGGAAGGTGAGTACTGGGTTGCTTTTTTGGTTTTTTGTGGGTTTTTTGGGGTTTTTTTTTTTTTTTGGATGCATTGATCGACAGTCTCTGTGTGGGACTCAGTAGCTGAGCTTTGGGAGTCTCACCATGGTGGTTGCATCAAACCAGCCTTGGTCCTAGTTGACTTCTCCAGTGAGTTGATGCCGTCAGGGATTCCTGCAGTGACAGTAACTGTGCAGCTTCTCCTCTTTGGAGCAGAGCACTGATGAATTCATAGACTAGGAGCAGTGCCAAGAGGAGATTCTGTGGGAGGCTGGAAACAAGCAGCAAGTGTCAAGCTGTGGTGGTGACCTCGCAAGACCCATCTCGGTCAGGCTGCTGTGGCCAAAGCCTAGAGTTGGTTGGACCTTCCCTTGCTGGTCATGGTGCACTGATCCTGGAAGGGGCTGCATTCTGTGTCTGTATGTAGCTTGGGCCTTGGCCCCTGGCTTTTATCACAAGTGTCAGACACTGGTTGGGTTTGAGGGAGATCTGGAGCACCAGGCAGGTCCCAGCGATGCACTCGATGGCTATGGAGAGTCACGTCCCATTTTGCTGTGTCTCTTCCCAGGCCGGGCACAATTTCCACAACACTGACATGAGCTATGTGAAGAAGCTCTGCGGCACCTTCCTGGGTGGGCCCAAGCTCCCCGAGAGGTGAGTGCCAGGAGAAGATGATGAGGGCTCTGTAAAAGCTTGTGTGGATGTTCCTGGTGTGTCCGGAGTGGGTGAGGGTCTCTCCTGGCAGACTGTGAGCGGGGTTCCCCTGGGTGCAGCTTGGTGGACGTCTTGCATGGAATTAAGCACAGAAGCATGCGTGGGGGGAACATCCATCCTCTGTCCTGCCACATACTTGGCCAATCGTGTAATTTGTGCTGCTTGAAACTTAAAACACTGGAGGAGCTGCTGACCTGGTCTGAGGACTTCAGAAGTATTTATTCTCCTTCAGTAAGCAAACAACAAGACCACTCATCCCCCGGGTCATCTTCAGAAGAAGTTGGAGGTTCCCATGCACCCAGTCCTGTTACACTGGCATTCCCATAACAGGACTTCCCTTTTCTCACTTGCAGGGTAGATTTTGCTGCAGACATGGATCTGCCCGATAACTTTGACTCACGGACGCAGTGGCCTAACTGTCCCACCATCAATGAGATAAGAGACCAGGGCTCTTGTGGCTCTTGCTGGGTAAGAGCGTGGGCGGTTTAAGGTCGTGTCGTTACAGAGTTTGCTGGACAAAAAACACGCTCTTGAGTTTGCTACTGAACTGCATAAATGGGGGGACACGGGGGATCCTGCAGTGTCTGAGCTTCTCGGTGGGCTTCTCCCAGCCAGGCTCATGCTTGCTGCACTCATTCCAGAAGGTTGCCTGGTTTCTCTCCCCTGGCCAGCTCTAACTGTCTTCCCATGGGTTTTGGGGGCTGCCCACAGGCTTTCGGTGCCGTAGAAGCAATTTCGGACAGAATCTGCGTTCATACAAACGCCAAGGTGAGCGTGGAGGTCTCAGCAGAGGACTTGCTGTCGTGCTGTGGCTTCGAGTGCGGCATGGGGTGAGCTCCTCTTGGTACTTCTGCTCTTAAAAGGTGGGTGGGAGGGGCGGGGACACAGCCCGAAGATGCTGATTGTTTCATTCAGCCCTGTCTTCCTAGTCTCCCTAATGAGCAGGAAGCCCCACCAGCAGTTTGTGCTGTAGATGCTGGAGTTAGGTGGGAACATGAAGGTGACTGCATGGGCTGAAAGTCCCTCTGGGCTACATCCTGCCCCCAGCAGTAGCTGGATGATGATGGATG